AATGAAACTTTGGAATTTATCTCTAATAAATACCTCTTGTTGCAGCTGAATTTAAAAAGTAAAAATGTTCAATTTAGAAAAGTAGAACCTGAGCAGAAAATGAGCTCATAGGTAGAGATGAAGAGAGCAAAAGGTCAGCATTTGCCAATTACCACTGAGGAAGTTTCCACAGTTACTGGGAATTTTATTTTTTTTTCTAATCGAAAGGAAATCTGCAGAAGCCTCAAATGCCATTGTGTGGTAACTGCTGGCAAATGTTACAGACTATATCTCAGCCACTCGTGTACTTACTGCTTGCATTTCAATATGAATTTTTTGTTCACATTTTTCTTCTTTAACTTATTCCTACAAAGTTCAAGCTAATGTATAGGTTAATGGATAAACACATTTGAACATGCCATACCTACTTCATATACAAAAGTTTAGGAATAGGCACTAAATATATAATATCATGTCATGAATAATTTTTTTAGGCATTTAAGCAGGTCACTGAAAAGAAGAATGTTTTCCAATTATGATAAGTTGGAATAGAACCTAAAGATGTTTTAATGAACAGTTAGGGACCCCAATATATTTTAACAGCTATTTAATGAATTCCTATTCCAAATGAATCAATTTCTTGCATGCATGTACTCTTCAACTTCACAGATTTCCACCTAATAAAGCATGGCCAAGTACAGTCACCTACGCTGGTAAAAGAAAATGCAGGGCTCCACAAAATTAATGCTTTTTAAAATTAAAGGGTTTTTTTGTTATTGTTCAGAACAAGAAGGAGCCTTCTGAAAATGGACAGGTATGAAAAATACACTATTATTTTTCCTTACAGAGAAAGTATATTAAAACAAATTGATGAGACCTAATCTGCAGCTTCAGCAGCAAATTCAGTTAAAGATGGAGAAAACGAGCCCAATTCACGGAAAAACAACAGGTCAAAACAAATCTATCAGGATTGGTATGCAATTATTTTCCACTTCATGCTTGTTACCTTTGCACTGAAGGAACAAGTATGTTCTGGGATTGACCTTAAAAATGCTTATCTTTAACTTTGGATCTGATTATCCTGATCATCACATGTTTTGGTGTGCTGCTATCTGATTACTACTCACCCTTCAGCAGTTTCATTTCTCAGAATTGAAGATGACTGCTCACCCAGAACAAGCAGGAACTATGACTAGAGTATCGCTTGTAGCTATAGTTTATCACTCAAAATTTTTCTTACACAGATAAATAGATACTAGTTCAGATGTGGCAGAACAGATGCTGAGGTTACAGGGATATCCTACTTGGCTCTGATTTTAACTGTAAGCATATCAAGTAATGCAGTCCTAGCTGTTCCTCAAGTCTCTTAACTATATGATTTCATCACCACAGAATGATAACACAGAAGAATAAAATGAATTTATGAAGTTCAACTTATGCAGTTCACTTGTGTACGTGATTTCACATTATCTCTACTAACATTACAACAGTACAACTTAGAAGAAACCCCGAACTTTTATCACCAAAGCCTTGTAAAGCTTGCTGATGTAAAGCTCACCAACTATCACAGTAATCCACTGGGATATGCAGTACAGTGTATAATAATACTCGTTCAGTGCACAGCTGTGCAGAGATAAATAATACTGACAAATAAATACATTGACATGATAAATATACTGACTAGCACCCATTGCAATATATGCTTAATGAGAAGATTGTCTCTTGCAAAATATTAGGAACCATCAACACATGCAGTGCTTCCATAGTGATTAGTGTGTGATGGCACGAGAGTGACTGGTGTAACAGCCTACCTTTGATTACAGGATGCCTTGAGATACACTAAGATACTTCCTCCTAATGTCTCAGTACTTCTGCTATATTCTCTGTAGTAAATCTGGTTCATTCACATAACAGCTATGTATTTGATATTTTTTCTTCCCTATTCCTGCTTGGTCTGCTAGACTGCCTGTTATTAGTCTGCAAACTGCAGTGGACATAGACTATTACTTCAGAATAATTTTAGAGAAAGAGGGACCCCACACATAGAATAAGAAAATAAATTATAGAAAACCCCTGGGTAGACAAATAAAGATTGTAAATGGATTGCTTTGATTTTATACTTATGTGATGGTTTGGACTTGGCTCCCTGCCAAATGCCCAAACCCCCAGTAGTAGCCCCTCTCTTCCCCTCTTTCTACTTCCCCCAGGGCAAAGGAAAAAAACTACGTAAATTGAAGAACCCGAAAATCAAGCTAGTTATATAAAAAATATATTTTATGTATATTATAGTTAAGATGCTATGTACACAGCAAACGGGAATCCAAACACCCCCCGAAGGGATAGGGAAAGGGGAAAAAGAAAACAAAAAGGGACACCGAATAGATACGCGCAATCAAACCCGAGAACTAATAAAATACCTAGTAAAACAAATCTCACCACGTCCCTTAGAAAGCAGGATTGGCAGACACTGCCAGCACTCTCCAAGCCTCCACGTGGCAGGTCAGTGGATGCTGCAGCCTCAGCCTTAGATAAGCGAGACCAATGTAGGGACCCAGCGGAAGAGAAGAACGAAGGCCACTTCTCCCCTCTTATTTATACCACGATTTACGTAAAAATCGTATGGAATACTGGGAACACTGCCCCTTCCTTGGTTACAAACTGGTAAGCAGGGAAGGCCTAGATTAAAACCACCACAGCTTAAAAGAATAAATTCATACAAGTTTAGTGAAAAGTTTCATATTTCTTTTGCGTAATTTTTTTGTGAATTGCAGAAATCATACTTCATTATCATTTTGCTCAAAATTTTCTCCCCATACCTCACTTGGAATCTCTGTTTATAAGCTCAAATTGTATTGATATGATTGCAAATTGTACTGCTTGGTGATAAAGGTATGATGTTTGGTTGAAGTACAGTTTCCTAAATACATCAAAAGACCACGGTCCCTGGGCAAAAGAAAGCCAAATACATTTTTCCAAATCCACGCCATTTGTGAAATGGTAAAGAAAGAAAGGAGCAAGCTATTTCACTAAAACACTGCTCAGGAATGCCATTTCTGCATGCCCATGTTATGAGGGTTATAATATCACCATGAATATTTCTACATTTCATCACAATTCTAAATATGAAAGAAAGTTAACTATTTGGCTGCTCCATATGATATGCAAACTTCTTGGTGCTATCCAGCAATATTTACTTAAGTTCAGTAAAATTAATCACAAGTTTTAATGTTTAAAAAGCAATCACTCTTTGGGAAGCTAATATAGCTAATACCTGTCATTTTTGGTGACACAGCATGACCTGACATGCACTGTGGTTCAGTTTAGTAGTCTCAAAAACTTTATCATATGAAGTACCTTATGCACTAAGACATTATTAAGCATCAGTAAATGATGATTCCTTCAAAGTTAAAGAATCCTCAAGGAGGAATTATAATCATGAGAAGGTCAGCAAGTTCCCATTCTAAACAGGCAGGGTAGGAAGTATAGACTGCTACCAAAACAGTGCTTTCCCAGTCTTACATGATCCCTCATCATAATTCTCTGACTAGAAAGACCCTAGGTACTTGGATTTCAGTGCTCTTTCACCATTCGTGCCCTCTTTCTTCACACTCTTGTCTGTCCTCACTCATGTGCTGATGCCTGTCTTCGTATCTTTAAGTCCATGCGATATTCCCTTGAAAAATTACTTTCCTGACTCAAAATAATTCTTTTTTTTTCCCTCATTCTCCCTCTCCCTGCAAAGCTGATGAAAAATCCTTGAGGAGGAACTGAAATTCATGGTTTGATCCAATATATCTCTAGAGCATAGAAAGAATATTATGGAATGAAGAAAAATATTCAGAGACCAAGGAGCCTGAGTTAAAGCTTTGGTGTGACGAAAAGGAAGGATAAAGAGCCTTCCTAGTGTCATGACACAATCTCTACCAGGGCCTTTAAATTCAAGAGAGAAATCTGGGAAGATATCCACGCTTCCTGAAGGTGATTGACCCTCTGAGGAAACAAAAGTGAAAGAAATAAACTCTCTGTGTACTGTACAAGCAAACATCTACATCATGGTAAAAAAATTACTCAACCAGGCACACCCTGAAATTGACTCAAAGCACCAATTTATATTTCACCACACATAAACATATTCTTTTTTTCAAGTGAATAATAATCAGCACTTATGCCTGGAAATTATATATTCATCATTTTGTTAGTTTATGATGAGGACTCAAAACAGCACTGTTTTCTATTGCTTTCTGCTGACACTAAATAAACACATAGTAATTGTAAGCTTATTGTCATCCAAAATACAGACCATTTCTAGGGCATATCAAGAATCTGAATTACAGAGATTATAGATGGTACACTGGAGACTATGCATAAACTGGTTCTTAACAGATAGATTATTACCCCATGTGACTACCTATGTGTGAGATTGACTTGCAGTGACCCTAAGAAAAACATTACTTTAGGGGTTGAATGCTCACTGCTAGTATCGGAGAACAGAAAAATTCTTTTCTGCTTTATTCCTACCATATTTGTGGAAACAGGCCTGTGGGTCTGGTTGTTTTTAGTAATAAAACAAACAACTGCCGTAAAAAATTCCCAGCTCTCCTCAGTTTCTCATGGTGTCATTACACAGGATCCTGAAAATTCCTCATATCAAAAAAGTGTAACATGATGCAAGAATATTTCATCATAAATTGCAACACTTATTCTTCAGCACCTTTCCTGCATGTGTCCTTCATGTAAGTACTTAGTTTTTGCTTTATGAAGGTCCACCATATCACTTTTTGCAGTCTACAGTAAAAGTTTACAAATTTAGAAAATAACATTTTATCCAATCCTATCTGTTGGTATGCATCAAATTAAAGAATACTTTTCCCTTCTATCTAGGTGGAAAGACAGAATCATTCATTCTTATTTAAAAAGCACACTCTTAAATAGGATAAACAAAGGCAGAATTACAACTTCTCTATATTTTTCTAAGTAATAGAGAGGCTTTAACTGGTAAGAAAGACAGAATTCAGACTTACCGTGCATTTGTTTGGCTTCTCTCCTGAATGGACTCTCATGTGAATCAGCAGTTTATAACGGGCATTAAATGGCTTGTACCTTCGAGGGCACCCTGCCCAGAAGCAAGTGAAGTCCTCTCCCTTCCTCTGGTCTATATGAATCTTCTCTATGTGCCGCACAAGTTCCTCTTGCTGGTCATATAGCTTACCACAGTCAACCCAGCGACAGCCATGCCTGCTGCTGAAATCTTCTAGCTCACCCTCTTCATCCAGCAGGGAGCCTGGGGCAGGAGGAGGCACATGCAGTGGGTGAACATGGCTGGGCAGGCTGTGTGGATGCTGGTGCTGATGTGCATGGTATGGTGGGGGTGGCCCTTGTGGAGGAGGCGGTGGCGGCAGCAGGGGTGGAGAAGGCATGTCCACCATAGTACTTGAGAAGTCATCCAGCCGTTCATTTTTCAGGATTCCCACTGCCTGGCTGTCCATGGGTAGCATGCCCTGCTGGATCATCATGTTACCTGTGACAGTCATCTGCAAGCTGGCTTGCTCCAGCTGCTGCATTCGCTGGTACTCACTGGCCCCATTCTCAGCATACCCTGGGAAGGTGACATTGCCATTTGCCATGAGGAGTCCTTTCTGTGCAGTTGGAATGGAGTAGTTTTGGGGTATGCAGCTTCCTCTCACTCCCAAAAAATGCCCATAGACCTCAGGCTGGGGGGAGATGCTTGCTGGCGATGTTCTGGAACTGTTGATGTAGGCCACCAGAGAGGTTGGGGATGTACGGATGATTGTATTGAAATCAATCTCAATGCCGTCAGACAAAGGAGATACAGAGAGTGCTCTCTTTTTGGAGCGGACTGACTGAGATGGTGCTGAGGAATGGTGAGGACTAGAGTAAGGGGAAAGCTTATTTTCCATGCCATATAAGGAGGACAGTAATGAGTTAGAGATGCAGTTACTGGACATATATATTTCAGATGAAAAATTTACTAGATCCCCCAGCTCACTGCCATTTTGTAAACCACGGTCAGCAGGAACAGAAGGAAGTGTCCTGTACCCGTGTGACCTCTCTTGTTTAACGCCCAAAGTGGACTGACCTTCTGAGAAGCTAAATGTTGTAGATGTCAGAGAGTCACGTGACAAGAGCGACCTGAAATAAAGGCACGATAAAGTAGGTAAGCACTTGTACAATTCAGCAGTGGTTCTTTCACCTTCACACACACATTAATATTAAGAATACACGTGAGAAAAGTTGTCCCTAATTTTATCTACTCAACTTTAGCACACTCAGTTAATGTACCCGTAGAGGCAAAAAGGTCATACACATACATATGCAAAAAGGTCTCTTAGAAACCCATTTTAAAACTTTAAGATTTTGAAAAAAAATTGCTGTAAAGATTCTTGGTACACCACTGCAGAAATCAATGTAAATCTTTTCACCAATTGTGCTGTAAATAGCTTTGGACTTCTGAAGCTAAAGTATTATGTTCCTGTCTTATATGAAACCCATACTGATTTGAGTCATCTATTATTTTTGCTTGAAAAGAATGAGAAGAAAAGTGATTAATAGAGAATAAATATTCAACCTGAATGACTTTTCCAATCGTAATGCAAATACTTCCCTAGAGAAGTTTTATATATCAAGCTTATAAATATAGATAAAATCTAACTTTACAAAACAAACAAAATAAATGAGTAAGGGAGAAGAACTGGTTGAAGGGGTTTATTTAGTTTTGATTTGACAATGTATCTGCTTCCAAGTCAGAAATCAAAATTTTTCACAAAAGTGTAATGTTGCTGTTATTGGTGGTTTTTCACACGGATATTATGGAACTTCTTTATGCTGCAAATATTCTATGGGTAGTTTAAAAACCCAACTCATAAGCTCTTAAAAGCATTGTTTTCTATATAGAGTTACGAAAAGGAAATACAAGGACATCAGAGTCCCCGATTTGTGGCAAATACTGGGTAGAGATCAAGTGGATATATGTTGTTATGTTTCCAGTTCACACACTGGCAGACTTGGATTTCCTACCAGTCAGTAGTGGCCAGCAGGAAATTTTTAAGGGGCTCTAAGAATAGAAAGAATCAGGTATGTAAACGTAGCAATGTCACAGACACATAAGCCTCTACATCTTACGTTTTGATGGTTAATTCTTGATTCTATTATTTTTACAATAATTTTGAAGAAGACGTGATGGATCAAGGACATAGTAGGGGAAACTTGGCACAGGATGAAGGACAGAGGAAGCAGTTTGCTGGTGCTGTCTGTACACTGAGATAGCTTACAAACAGAGAAATGAAGCTTTAAAGAACACCAAGCCTTGCTGTTGTGACCAGTGGGAGTGATTTTTGCTCCTTTGTGCAAGACACTTGCTTTGTAATGGATGGTTAATTTGCTGTATCAGAATAAGAAACATCCTGCTCAAACTGAATAACAGTGAAGGGTATTGTTATGGAGTTTATGTTACTCCATCATGGTTTAAATGGCACTGTCAAAATAGACCACTGACAAAAAACACAATTAACATGCTGAATACAATTTGCATTGAGAGAAATGAGAAAAATGAGATTGCTCTATCAGGTCAATCCTGTGTGCCATTTAGATCTAAAAGGATAAGTATTTGTGAAAAAGTTGATTAGGGCTGTTGAGTCTGTTATCAATGGGCACAGTTCATGATAGTTATATTATGTTAGTACACTGTGACCCAAATACAGATCCACAGTTTTCAACAAAGCAAAGCATGTAAGTAAAGTTGGATTTCCTCATGCTAGGCTATATATATTTATACCTAGAGAATACAAGGGGAGAGTGGGGATGTTTTGCCAGTTTGTTCGTTTAAATTTCTATTTTCTCTTCTATAAGTAGAGGAAAAGAAATCATGCATCAATAATCTACTACAAGTCTACTTCTGTACTGACAAGAATTTTAAATAGTAGGACCAGTGTCATTCAAAAAGCTACTAACACCTAACACAAAGGGACTTAGCCATCAGTGAATTTGAAGAAAAAATGTGTTTAAAAGTCTCAGAACAGGACAAAAATAAAAAGTTGGCCCAGAATTTCAAGTACACAATAAGTAAATAACCTGAAGAAGCTTGGTTCCCACTTCAGCATCTAAATTCAAAAGTAATAAATATCCCAAAAAATCCCCAAGATTTATTTAAAACTTGGCTCACACTGTGACTAAGTAGTTTTCTGGGGGGAATAAATACACTTAATATGAAAATGAAGGGCCAGCTCTACCACAGTGCCAGATTCTCAGACAGTATTAACTGGCACATCTGCTCATTGTCATTTAAACCGGCTTGAGTTTGGACCAGATCTTTCATTAACATTTACAAGACATTACTTGCAATTACTTTCTATTCTCCCTCTGTGTACAGAGGCCACAGTGTCAAAATATAACCCAGAATCTTGAACATAAAGATGGAAGAGCGAAAACTAGGTTTTTCTCTCTTTTCGTGGTCTTCTGTTTTACTAGCCAAGAATCCTTTCCTCTTTCCTGGGTCCTTTTCTGACTTGCATCAAAGCAAATGGCAGTATTACATCTGGTTTCAAGCAGCACAACTGAATACTCTGAAAAAGTTTTGCAGAAATTCAAAAAAGACAGGGAAGGCTTTATCCCTCCTGGTCTATACACTAGAACCTGATGCTATCTGTAGCAGAACTCCAATTTTGCCAACTTTTTTTTTCTTCCACACACCAAAACCAATACAATTCACTTTGGGTTTGGTTAATTCAGTAAATAATCTGGTTTGGATTGAGTTGCTGGAACACAGTTCATGGTACCTGAAACATAAAATCCAGAAAAGGCACTCTACCCTGGAAGGATCATGGAGTCAATTTAGTTTAGCCAAAAGCAGTTTACAGTTGAAGGAATTTAACAAAAAAAAAACCAAAGAAAAACTCAAATAAAAAATTTATAAAACAAAAACCAAAACAACCATCAAACCAAACAAACAAATGCCCCCAAAATGATGACAACAACAAAACCCACTACAAATAAACAAACAAACCCAAATTGTTTCAACAATCTGTGAATTAAAATCTGACTTTAAATTTGTTTTGTCCTACAAAATAGTCAATTTGAGGTCAAAATTGCTGAAATTTACTTTCTTTTTGTGACAAACTTACTTTATAACACCTTCAGCAGGTTTTAGTATTCATCTCTCATGAACTCATGATGAGACCACAGAACTCACATCACTTTGCAAAGTCGGGAAAGTGAGGAGAATCCTCAGATGAGGACAAATGGTGAATCATCAAGAATTTTGCAATCTTCTCCAAGTACTAAAAGCACTATTAATTAATAAATTTTGCACTTGTAAAACATGTGCAAAAGTACATAAATCAAAGACCAGGCATCACCAGGTAGTATAGCAGCCCTCAGCTGGGGGACAGGCCTGGTCTTCAGTGCAGCTCTATCTGAACAGAGCAGGAAGAGAGAACCCAAGGAGGGTGATGGAAAACCACCATGCCCTGAAAACCCCAGAGCTTCAGGTAGCCTTTCTATTATTACTACACTAGTCACCCAAAAAGCAAGAGGACCATTGACAGGCACACAAACTACAATGCTGGCTGTGTAGTTTTACTGGCAGGAGAGAGTTACAGCTGGAACCCAGCTTTCCTCAGAGATCTAGGGAAAGGAATCCAAGCTGAATAAAAGAGAGATGCATGCTGGACTTTCTCTGAAGGCCACAGATTACGCATGCTGGACTGCCTTTGAAGGCCACAATCTCTTCTTAATCACTGCTGCCATGACTCAAAATGATACAGGAACATACCTTCAAAATGCTCTGTGTACCCTGTGTTGTGATTTAGGTCACAGATGGTCGTTTACAAGATTCTCTTCCTTAAAATGTATTGAGATAAGAAAGTTAAAATGTAGGTCATAATATGGAAGTTGTTGGATATCTACCAAATTCTCATCACAGCTGGAAACTAATAATTAGGCAACTCACATTTCTAGTTGGTTCCCTGTGTTCAGAAAACTGCACAAAGCAGGACAGCAAAAATCTGGACTACTAGTGAAAAGTACTTCAATGCAAACCATTCTTCTAAATTAAATCCACTTCTGACACGGTTGTACAACTCATGCAAGTTTTTCTCCAGGTTGTTCAAATGGGTTGTGAAATGGAGAAAAAAGTTCAATAAGGCATTTATGACCCTCACAGCACCTCAGGGATGCAGAGAGCAAGTAAGAGAATTTTCTATGTTAGGGTAGGGATGATGGCCAAAGACGGTCTGGTCACTAGTCACTGAAAGGAAAAAATGAGAAATAGAGTACTTTGGAGAGATTGTATTACTGGAATGATAGACAAAGGCAATGCCAGACTCTACTCCTCACAAACATTTGCCTGGGCATTTCTCTAAGGCTGAAATGGAAGGAAAAAGTTTTTTTTTTCTTTTTACCACTGACAAACACTTCCTATTATCAGAAAAAATACCAATTCTTCCACTTAAAGTGGGTGGGGGAGATTATCATGAATGAATAAATAAACCATCAGCTCCCACCAGAGACTGCAAACTGATGTTTTGCAAAACACAGCCATGCCATTTTATCCACTGCTTTATAAAAGCACAAATGTGTCAGAAGACCATCAGTAATACCTCATCTGTGCCCTGCAGGTCACTAAACAGTATTAGTTTGATCTGAATCAGGTAGGAGCATACATTCCCACATAAGCTGAGCTAAGTCTGAGCACAAGATGGGAAGCTTATGCTGACTTAAAGCCAGCTACAAAATTACAGACCACATCTGATCTTGCATTAAGTTAAATGAGTGCAACATGGACATCTGACCTGATATCAGCTTGCTGCTAAAAGGCAAGCTGTCAGAAAGTGTGTTCAAAAGCACTGGATAAATCTGAACTGTCAGAATGACTATGTCCTACATTAGCATTGGAATCATACACCCACAGTGCCAGAGGAACCCTCACAACAGGTCTCCTCCATCACTGACACAAAGGCTGAAAATTTCAGGGCAGTGAAAGGATAACCATGAATTTCTTAATGCCCTGAATCCACATCAGCTGAAAAATGGGAAAATCTTGGGAGGACATCAGTGGCTTTTAAATGACACTGTAGATTCTAAGAAAAATATCTGAAACTAATATTTTAAATGAGAAAGAGAAGTAATTTTTTTTCTTTTATACTAAGATAAAAATCAAAAGGCAGATCAATAAAGGCAATAATAACTGAGGAGATGCAATAAGTCCTGAGGTGGCTCACAGGAAGAGTTACAACTGATTAGCAAGTCCTTTATTCCAAATAAACATATTACACATAAATCAAAGCTGCTCTTTATAAGTAAATAACAGTAATAGTCAATAAGTATAAACAGTAAAAATATTCAATGGAAATATTTTAATCCACTCACTTCCTCATTAGTTAGCTTGCCTATTTTCCCTATTCTCTATATTTACTCTCTATATTTATTCTCTATAGTTGGTTAATAGCTAAGTTTCACTCAACTTTGAACTGCAAAACTGTTTCACTGCAATCTTCTGAAGACATTTGAAGAATTCAGAAAAATATCACTACTTTATTTAGAGTCAAAGAAGTTTAGATGAGATTATCTTAATTTATATAATTCTCATACTTTTTGGAGGGAGAGTCCAATATGAAATTAGTTCAATTTAAACACATTTTCTTTTATCAGATATTAACTGAAAACCAACCAATTTCTTTGTCTACTTCTCCATGTCAAGAGCAGTAACTTGGTAATTCTGACAAGTAGCTCAGGTTAAAAAATGAAACTGTTTCACCAAACCTTTGAAATTGCAATCTATGTTTCCCATTTATAAAACATAGTCAACAAAACCCATAATTATTTGGTGTTCTGAAACACACTACATGCATACCAATTAATAACACTAGATCAAATTCAAACATCTCTTAGATTAATACATTACGCAGTTACTGAACCAATCAGTATGAAAGTAAGTTATTTAAAATATCTTAAAACTTGTCCTTTGTTACTGTTAGAGTAGTAGATAGAAATAAAAGAATTGCAACAAAGGAGCAAAAGTTAATTTCCCTAGAGGATTTTCTGTGTTGATGTACCCAGAAAATGTACACTTTAAGAGCTTTGGAAATGCTTGGTTTAGTGTTTCCCTTGTTATTGGTTTCTAGTCTTATTTGTGTGGAGTCTCTATTCACCAAAATGTGGAGAAAATGGCACATTAAAAAAGCATATTGTACAACAATAAATAATATACAAAGAGGACAGAGACCAAGCAGTAAGCAAGACTGTGTCAACATATTCTTCACACAGATTAGCTGTAAATCAGCAAGGCCTTTTCAAACCAAATTTGATCTTTTTTTCACAACACAGTTGATCTTCTGGATGTTGCAATTCCCAGCTACCACACATGTCTTTTCTGGGTGTATCTGTGTATCTGCAGGGTTACTGTCACCCTAGCTGGAGGGGTTTCGCAGTAGCTGCTGACTGAACAAACTGAAATATTTGCGTAGAAGAGTTGTTTCCCGATAGTAATATCCCAAACTCGCCTTGAGCCTGCCAAACTTTTCAGGCTTCCCTTGCAGCAATTTTAGTTGTATTACTAATGACTGCCAGAGAGATAGCACTTGTCTCTTTGCCCTTACACAAAATAGCCAACTTTCTATTGTTTCTACAGTCATCTAAGAGGCAGATTGCACTACACCTAGGTAGATAGACTCTAGCCTCAGGGCAGTGGATATCAGACCCCTGGGAAGCCTCTTCAAGTGTGTTAAACTGGAGCTTCGAAGTAGAACAAATTAAAAACCAAAGACAGAATAGGAGGAATATTGTAATTTGCCTCTATGAGCATATGATCAGGCAAAATCTTTGCCTGTTTGGAAATCTGGGCTTCTTCAAACTGGTGTCACACCCTGAGCCCAAATGCTTTTGGGAGACCTTGAGGTTTGTAGGTGAACTACACAAAAATTCAATCACAATTACACTAGGTATGAGGAATTTTTTATGGTGTGCAATCTGGAATTTTTCAGGGTACAAGTCAATTATTAAACTATGATTCAAAATATTATTGAATTATCATTTTTTATTGCAAGCCTTACAAAATACTGTAGTTTCACAACTCCACCACACAGACAGTACATGTTAGTGAAACTGTGATTCTTAGCAATTATTTTCTTTCAAAAATAAAACAAAATTAAAAAACCAAGGATTTGTGGTTCAAGAGAAAATTATGAAATTAAGATGGTTATGGTTTTCTTAACACTTACAATTAGCAATGCCTTGTTAGTAACAAATCCTCTAAATCCTCTGGCAAAATCCACTCTGAACACCAAGTTAGACAGACCATTAATCTGACTAGTATTGGCAATTCCCATGTTCTTAACTATTTGAGGAGACATAATTTTTACAATCAGTAAAAATAATCTCAAGAAAAGACACTAAACAGAACATTATATGATAGCATGGTATTATGAGAAAATGCTATGCATGCTTTTGAAGGTTTTCCATGCTTTGAAACTTGGAAAGGCAGTTTCTTCACTATCAGAGTGCACTTGGTAAGTTAGATTACACTAATTACCAATGCTATGTGCCATTCATTGTATGAAGCAATCAAGCATGTACTTTCAGCAACTCTACCGTGAGACAAAAGAAACTGACAAAGCACAATGAAAAACAATGTCTGCCTTCAACTGGAACCAAGGTAAAAAATTATCCAGAACTGACCAGTGAAAACAATACCTCACAGGTGATTAACTTTGCTGGTTTAGAGCAGACAGCAATGAGATCACCTACTTCTATGGCACACTTTAACCACTAAATTTAAACAAATGAAAACAGTGGTCTTGTAATGACTAAACTAAGAATATATTATGAAACAGTCAGGTTTAGGAAACTTCCAGGAGAAAACACACACAGTAAAACAAAAATGTTCCATTAGATCTACAGACATCTGTAATACCTCATACTAAATTTTAATCAGATTTATACCAGGAAGACCTCTCACTTATTAAAACACTATTTTGAAAGCTACTTTGTTTTCTTATTTTGCATAAGAAGTAAGAAGTTATCAGTTAACTAGTGCACAGACAAGGTAATGTTTAACTGAACTAAAATATAAATGTTTTAGCTGCAATGGGTAACTCCCTATTTGTTATCAGTGACATTAAATGACTTCTGCTTTTGTCCTTGTTAGGATATAATGGTATGTGCTTTTCTACTGCAGGAAACACACAGCTTTACATCTTTGGTTTATGCTACCCCTTCTCTATAGTATTAGTTACTCATACCAGTTTATATTTATAAAATTTACCTTGACCATTTAGTTTGTATGTCTGAAATATTAATACACTGTGCAAGCCACATACTCAGATAACTGATATTAATCAAGAGAAAATCCACTAGCAGTGTAATATATTAATCTACTGCTATATGAATCCAATGGTGAATAATATCACGGGGAAAAAAACCCAACAAGTTTCATGTTTTAAATTTCAGTATTGGCCATCTTCTTAAAGTACCATTATTATATAAATGGAGAGAAAATTATTATTATTTCTATCAAAATGGAAATGTACAGATATTTGAAAGAACAGAAGAGAATTGTACTGGAATTACAGATAATACATTCCAGTTCTAGGCTACTGGGCAATTACTGCCTGAATCTGACCTAAATTAAAGCAGAGCATCTGTCTATATGTGTGTAAGAGCACAGATTGCAATTTCACTTACAAGTGGCATTGCTTGAGAAGCAAACCAAAAAATAGTATTTTTAAAACTTCCTCACATATTATTAACTATAGGACTCAAATGAAATCGGTAGGGAGACATTTTGCCCATTAACAGTGTTGTAGTCATCTGCAAAATAAGTGGATCAATTCCAACAGTTTTGTCGGAATACTTCTTTACTGATATGATCTGATTGCAATGCAGCCAAGTATGGAGGAGCAATAATAAAACACTTTGGAAAAAACAACTCTCTGTACTTTGTAACACCTCATCTCCCACAACTTCTAGCACTGTTCAACCTTCGCTGCACATTTGTGCTTTTCTTCATGTTCAAAATACATTCTTGGCATATTTTTCATTAATTCCTGAAATTTTTGTTCCTCAATTTTAATTAAAGGAGGCTCAGATAATTTCTGTTATCTGAACGTTCTTAGTGTTTTTGAAAATACGATGCAGGAACTTTGCTATCTGTCACTATGGGCACACGCAGATCCATTACTTCGAAGACTTTATCATTCCACGTCTCAAAGCAAGTCAGCACAGAAATGTATCCTCTGTTCACACAGCAATTTCTGATTTCTTGATGTGGACTGCTGTCTAACATGGTGACAGCCTTCCCTAGCACACCTTCCCCGTGCTTTTCCTGCCAGCCTGATTGCATGGGCAGTGAGTAATGGGAAGAAAGAAGCAGACTCCTTTCTTTCTTCAGGCCCCAGGCAAGGGGAAGATCTGTCCCCTTTACCCACTTAGACACTGGGATGCAACAGAGCACCAAGAGTAAGGGGACTGACTCTTAGCAGGTTAAGGTGGCCTTAATTTCAATGCTGTATGACAACATGCCCCTAGTAAAACCTGCAACCTACTGTGCAGGAGTCCTGAGCAGAGGAAAGAGGAGCAAGGAGGTTGCACAGGCCAGATCTCAGTCTTTGTCCCATAACACATCACTGCTAGACTGTGCTGCATGCCATGATACAGCAACAGATACTGGTTCAGCAAAAAAAGCATGCAATAAAGCCTTTGTTTAATGTTAAACTGTAATTCCATGTGAGGCTCTCTTTCTAAATCTTTACAGATAACCCAAGATATTTGACCACTGTTTCTCAGAAAAGGATCTTTCTTCCATTAAGAGACCAAAATGTACAAGCAGGAGAGAAAAAAAAAAAAAAAAAAAGGAATAAATGCCAACTTGTTGAATTGTGATACCAGTTTGGAACAGGTGACAAATATTAACATGTAAAGAGCTGCAGAAAGTGGCTCTTGCCGTAGGGAAGCAGGATTCTAAGTAACTTGCAATCACATTCAGTACATTTACGTTTCCCAGATAAATGCAATTGTTCAAGGACACTACAAGGTAATCTTTGAAACAGCATTGTCCCTGACTTTCTGAGCAGTACAAACATGTTTTTCTTTTTCCTTGCATTAAAAACAAGATACTATTCAATGTTGTTTCTCCTAAAAGATGAGAACGTTATCCTAGTTGTCAGTTTAACCAGGCAGAAATAACAAGCATACAGCCCACATAACATATGTATTCTAAGAGGCTTTATACTCAGTTAATTAGTTTAACTATTGCTTTCATGGTTCATTAAAAGTTTCATGCTTCATTAAATATCAATATCCTTTATCATCTCAAAAACTTCTCAGTAAAAATACAATTGCCTTTTCAAATGACAATCTCGTTAACTAATATATACATTTCAAGCACGTCTATGAAACACTAGCCAAGTCTGAATTGCTACAGTAGTTGTATATCAAACCATTATGCAAATTTCATTCCACATAAAATTGAAAGATTTTTTTTCTTAAACAAAAGTACTTTGTCAAGAAAATAGTTTTAACAGTAAGGTACACTACAATAAGAAAATGACATTAGTTCTTACTGTTTAAACTGACTTTTAGAGGAGACCACTATCAATATCCCTCATGTTGTTACCTACTTAAATTCCTTAAAAGCTGAACTGTTATTACATCATGGTCCAAATAAAACCTTCTACTTGTCTTTCCAACTTAGCTTTTCATGTCAATGAGAGGCAAACCCTGGGAAAATTACACAAGCAGCCACAAGTATTTAAAATCTTTATTGGCACTACATGCTTCCACTCTTCTCAAAGCCTTAGACATTTTTCTTTCAACTCTATTTTTTATTCTTTATTCCTTTCATCAGCCCAAGGCACACTAATTAGTCAGAATTTCCCAAGTCTTTTGTGGTTGTGACCAAAAAGAAAAGACCAAAAAGAAAGCTCATTTCATCTTGTTAAAGTGAATCCATCTACCTTCCACAAAGCCAAGCTAATAAGAGGGAGGATTAAGGCCAGTTGAATGGCTTAGGCCCCTAAAGACAAGCCCAGCTCCTGCCCTTAGCTGTCATACTTGCCAAAATTGGTTTACGGAGAATGACGTCTTAACCACAGCTATTACTTTGCAAAGAGAAGGCTGCTGTCTTGGCAGGGTTTGGCAGTCGAAGTTGGCTACTGACTAAGGTCTGAGGTAAAGACACAGGAAACCACACTGGCATCCCAAAGCAGTGATGTCTGCAAGGGTCCTCTGAACAGCGGAAAGAAGTGTTCACGGACAAAGGCACAAAAAAGGCAAATGTTTGCATGCTCTGCTGAGCTAAAGTACCTTTGTGAAAGGGTGGAAACCCACACAAACGTCCTGATGGATACTGAAATTTTTTAAGAAGCTGGTCATCCCAACTGTGTCTCTCTCCTCCATCACTAAAAAAATCAAGTGGTACCCATCTTTACATTAGTTTGACAGAGAGAATGTGCAAATATGTAAGCGTAATATGTTCAAAACAGATCATGTAATTTTTGAGGACTTCATCCTGTTGAGTTTCAGTGAAGTTAAATCCCATGGACATCTGCAATTTTTCACAAAAAGAACTCAGTCTTATGAGCTGATGAGGTAATTTACAAAACTTCTGTCGTAAGCAAGTGTTCATGTATTCTTCGTACAATTTAATGTATGCTTTTTTAGCATTCTGGTGTGATTTTCAATAAAGTGCAGGGATATGATTCCCTGTAACTCAGCAATTGCATTTCCCTGAAGTTAATGTGAACAGGATGTAAATTAGCACCTGTTACAATCAGCTGTCATTGTATTTCAATATCACTGAAATCCACACTCTATTCTACAGTTTGTCAAAGTTCATGCTAAAAAACACGTTTGCTTTTGAAGCACTTATTAAGCGTACTGCATGCTAAAAATGCAAAGTTCATTGCACTTCCAAAGGGCTCCAGAAGACTAAACAGGTCAACAGTGAAGACCTAAAGTGCTTACAACTGAAGAAAAAACAATAACCAGAATAATGGTTATAGTATTTTTCCTTCTTAATGACTAGCTTCTCTTCCTCATGCAACATTCAAGAATCAAGTCTGCATGGGCAGGCTGAATGAAGAAAGCGTATGTATCTGCAGTCTGGGTTTGGGAGAGTTTTCATTGCCCAAACCTGCTGGCCACACACTTCCCAATGCACTCCAGGGTATATAAGGTCAACCAATGTCAGTTGACCTTAGCTGACTAACAGATGGTCATTCAGCTGCCCCCACAATAGCACAGATAGTACAGGGGAAGAAAATAATATGGAATATCTCCTGGGTCGAGAGAAGGACAGCTTTATAAAAAAAGCAAAACCCTTGTGCAGAGACAAAGCAAAATACAAAATGTACTCATCACATCAGCAGGCGGGTGTCCAGCCACTTCCTGGGCAGCAGGTTCTCAGTATGTGTAGCAATCACTCAGAAAAATAAATGCCATCACCATAAATGGCCCTACATCTTCCTCCTTTCCCTCAGCTTTCATTGCTGAGCACATCATACATTATGGACTATCCTTTTGGTCGTTGGGGTCAGCTGTTTGTGCTGTGTCCCCTCCAAATCTCTTGTTCACCCCCTTCCTAGTGGCTTTTCTTTGTGAGTTGATGAAGAGAGAGCCTTGACACTATGCAAGCACTGCTTACTAAGAGCCAAAACACTGCTGTGTTATCACTGCTTTGTTATCAACACGGTCTAGTCAGAAATGCAAAGCACAGTCAGAAATGCAAAACACAGTGCAGCACATATATGCTGCTATGAAGAAAGTTAACTGCCTCCAGATATATCCAGTATATGACATACAGAAAAAACCCAAAGGAAATGTCAGAAAAGCTGCTCTGGCAAAGACAAATATGAAGGGAACCAGACCAGTGAGGGAGGGAGGAGAAGCACTTTTCCCAGTGAATGTCTGGACTTCAGGCATCACTTCAGAATTCAAATTTACATCTAAAACCATTATCAGAGTCCATTTTGAAAAGAGGAATATTTTCCCATTGTGATTTTCATTTAAAATATGTGAGAAAAAGGAAAATGAAACATTGAACAGATATTAAACACTCATTTTTTCTATTAAAACAATGTAATTGTAGGATTTCACAAAGCTTGCATTTTCAGGAAAGAAAAGCATTGTTTTTAAAATGAGGGATGTCTTTATTGGTTTCAGGTAACAGCAACTTTGAATCAGAGTACTTTCACTCTACTCACTCTGAATAATTGAATGCCAATTTCTGCTTCCATTACACAAAGGTTGTTGTTCTTCTAAGCAGCAAATGTCCTTTCTAAACGATGTTTCTGCCTGAGAAACCAAAGCAATGAGGAATCCTGAAGGCTCAGCCAAAATTGCAAACTGAGCTAAGAGTTGCAGGCACTCCAGAGGTGAACCTGTTTCCTCATGCACACCCTTTCCAGAAATTATATTGACTAAAGTACTACAATTTCTTCCACTGCTCTTTTCAGGCCAATATGACTTCGCTGACAGAAGAAGTTAAGGAGTTACTTAGCCAAGATGCCCTGACACAGATGGGCAGAGTGACAATAGCTCCTCTCTGCAGAATCAGGGCAGTGGGCCAATGCAGCAGCGGGATAAAAGATTGCTCGCCCGTCAGGGCTAAGAGAAGGATCCCAACCACAGCCTGTCCTCTTGCTTGCTCCAGGAGGACTTCAGCTCTGCATCGTTGATACAGCTGCAGGCTTTAAACTGACAATCTATCTAATACAATTTGCCAAGAGTGGTAAAAGCTAGGATGTGAGGCAAGCCCAGAGTAACAGCTCTCTTGTGAGAATATGAATGTTCATAGGGAAATGTAAGCCAGCAAGTATATTCTACATAAAACTTTCAACAACTGCTCAAAGATCCTCTCTTTAGATCTGCCTTTACTTCCATATAAATGCAAGAAAGCACTAGATGCCTATACCAGCTAGGTATCCTTCCTCTTGATAGCTCTTTCTGACTGTTCCCAGGATCAGAAAAGAAACTTAACAACTGAGACTGACCTGTTCCTTCTGCAAGGCAACTGCTACTTAGTTTCTCAGGTGTAAAGGCCAAAGGCATATATCCTGAGACAGTTTCAATGGACCTAACATCTGTTGGAGAGATTCCAAATATGTCAGCGAAGACAAGGTTGTAAATCCTTTTACAATTCTTGTTAAGTCAGGTGTTGAAAACTGGATATTGGCAGCATTTTCTGCAGTGCCCCATAAATTTATCTTAAACCTTACCCACATACATTAGAGGGTGATTTTTTGCTCCAAAGCCTAATCAATTACCTACTCAATGGTCCATTTGATT